TAGCCCCAGTGTTTCAGCAGAATTGTGCTTGTCAATACTTTTATGTGGAAGATGCCCAGGATAAAGGAATGTCTTAGGTCATACATGGGCTATTTATACCTCTCTATGTGGGACCTCTCATGCCCCCGTACCTGGGCTTGGCTTTTTCTGTTTCTCCTCCCAGAAAGGATGAGTTCCCCTGGGAGCCCTGATCTGCACTCACGTAATCAAGCTCCTTTCTGGCCAGGGGATGTCTCCGGCAGCACAGACAGAGCCCTTTCCCACTGGAGCGTCTTAACTGGAGCACGGATGTTAGCAGGGCCGGGAAGTGCATTTCCAGCAAGACATCACTCGCTTCTCATACCCACCCAAATACACTTTCTTGAGCTCCAGGAACACAAAGCATATTGCACAGCCACCAGGGAGTACGGGTTCAAACATTTCCTGGCTGAAGCGATCCTTAGAAACATGAGATTAAGTCAGGAAGTTGTTATCGGATTGTCCCAGAGGGCTGAGACTCAGACCCCCAAAACCGGAAGCCATGGACTCCATTCCACCTGCTCCTTCCTCAGAAAAAAGCCTACCTCCCTTGGTCCTTTTGTCTGCATCCGCTTTCTCTAGTGTTCTTTAAGATGGCGTTCATCCCATCTGGTCTCGAGGAGATTCCTGTGGCCAGGGAAGAAGCTCTCTCTCCAAATCACTTTTCCGCAGACAGGTTTTCCATCTGATTCAAGGACACTTCCTGGGCATCTGGTTTCTGAAGCTCAAGAGATTACTGCATCTGATGGATTACCCTGAGTTCCAAGGCCACTGCCGTCAAATGGCATTCTGTGAACACTTTTATAAGTGCTCCCAACACACACACACACACACACACACACACACACACACACACACACACACACACACCTCATCAGACTCCATTCCCGTTTAGCATCCAAATAGTAATCCAACCCAAAGACATTGACAAGAGCTAGGTCAGCACAGCCCCCGAACATGAATTAGATGCTCAAAATTGTACATTGAAGGGCCTTGAATAGAGCTCAGAGGTAAAGTGTATGCCCCACACATATGAGGTTCTGGGTTTGATCCCTGTTAGCCCCACCTCCATTTTTTTTTTTATGTTTTGGACCACAATTGGCAGTGTGCAGGGCTTATGCTTGGCTCTGCTCTCAGGGATCATTCCTAGCAGACTCAGGAGACCATATGGGGTCCCTGGGGTCAAACTCGGGTTGACCACGTGAAAAGCAGATGCCCTACCCACTGTACTATCACACCAGCCCCAGCCCCCAACCCCTTAACAAAAAAGCATTGACTAAGGGAGGAGGAATATTATATTTCCTAACCTCTGCAGCTTCTCACAGGGTACTAGACCCAGGGCAACAGCGGGCTTGAGTGGTAGAAAAGAGGGAGAGACACATCTTATAAATTTATACGTAATTTATACACATCCTGCAAATTTTTGTTTCGCAGTCACACCCAGTGGTGCTTGAGGATTATTCCTGACTCTGGGGGAGTTGCTCCCGGTGGTGCTTAAAAGCCAGGTTGTATCAGACACCACCGCCCGCCCCCACCCCGTGTAGAGCTCCTCAGTTCCGTCTCCAGCCCCAGGGAGAGACACATTTCAACCTGTTCAGCAATTGCTCAGCCTGAAGGTTATACATGAGTAGGGGGACTCCACAGCCAGCAGTGGGATCCCTGTAGGGAAGAAATAAACTTCAATTGGGTGGTAAATGAGCAGGCCTTCAGGGTCCCTTCCAACCCAGGCATTTGACTCCTGATGATCTACTGCAAGCAAGCTGAATTGGTCAGCGCTAAGGCCTCAGAATGTGGAGTTCCCAAGTCCTTCCATGCTGGGGGACCACCAGGGTCACTCTGGCTGCCTTGGGTGCCTCCAGGTCCATGATGGGCAATGCTGAGTGTGTGGATCATGTATTTGAATGTGGGTCTTGCAATTGGTATTTGAATGTGGGTCTTGCAATTGCAAAGCCTATGTCCCTAACCACTAATCTTCATCCCTGGCTCCTTAACCCTGGGACCTTTAAGAGAATCCTTGAGAAAGCAGAAATGAAGATGGCAAAGTGGGGAGGGATGGAGAACAGAGAGGAGAAGAGAGAAAAACTAAATATAAGAAGAAGCTGGTGGCAGGCCAGAGGCTGGGACTGTTCTAAGCTGGCATAGTGAAAGGCCATGCCCTGGGCTCTGCCTAGCTGCCCCTTCTCATACAAAGGGCAGGTCTTGCTTTTGGCTGAGTCTGACCCACAAAAAAGCAAGGGGTGCAACTGAGCAGTCTGTGCTGATCCATTTGGGAAGCTTGGCCTGGGACACAGAAGGGGCAGAACTTGTACATTTACCTGGGGCATTCAGGATTCTAGCCCCCCACCCCCAGACAGGGAAACAGGAAGGAGCCTTTCTCCCTTCTCAACCATGATCAGAGCATTAAGTCGGATCCAAACCCTGGAGCTCTCACTTAGGGCCTCCAGACTGGTGCAGTGAGGGGGGTGCACTCCTTGGTCACAGGAAGGGTGCTAGATGGGGCTGTGGACGCAATGAGGAGTTTCCAAAGGTGGACCTCAAAGGGGGACTATTTCTAGACTGGAATCTGGACTCAGACCCTGGTCATGCCACAGCCATGGCCAAGGACCCTGGCTGAGTTAAGACACTGGGCCAGCCAGAGCTGGTCCTAGAGAAACACCAGATGCCCAGGGAGAGGGGAGCAGGAGGGAGAGGAGATGGAGGTGAGGACACAGCCCGCCGCTGTTCGTCTGAGCCTTTTCTTCTTTCCTTTCTTCTTCCACAGGCTGTATCTTCTCCAGAGGGGGATCCAGTTGAAGCACACCCTCTGCACCAGTCTGCTCCTAAGACTGACCAGGAGCATTCCCATTAGGCTCTGAAGCACATTCCCAGGGCTATGAAGTCAGGGGACTCTCACTGCAGTGCTCCCACCCTGGCTGCCACAGCCACACAGCCACACACACACACACACACACACACACACACACACACACACACCCCAGCTGTCATGCATATTTTGTATTGGGTATCTCCAGCCGATAAAAAATATACAGGTTGAAGGGCTGGAGCAATACAGCGGGTAGAAAGTTTGCCTTGCACGCGGCCGAACAGGGTTTCAATTCCCAGCATCCCATACGGTCCCCTGAGCACCGCCAGGAGTAATTCCTGAGTGCAGAGCCAGGAGGAACCCCTGTGCATCACAAAGTGTGACCCAAAAAGAACAAAAAAAGCAGGTTGACCCACACTTAGTTCCTGGACCAAGGCTACCAGTTTTCTCCATGCAGCCAGCCTTGCTGGGGCATCCCTTCCCCTGCGCCATCGGCGGACTGCTCTGGAGTCCCTGTGAGTTGTGGCCTCTTTGGCGCAAGATACAGCCCTACAAGCCACAGGCTGCTCCGGATGTCCTGGCATCCTGAAATCATCTGGCTTTCCATTCAGAGGCCGGTGAAATGATACCAGCTGGTGAAGCCTGGTCACACACACACACACACACACACACACACACACACACACACACACACACACACAGAGCCACACAGCCACACCCATCACACCCATTAGTGCCCCCAAGCAAGGAAGGAGCCCGTCCAACTGGCCTCCAGACAGCCTTCCAGCACACAAAGGACTGGCCCCGCCTGAAGAATCCCGGGGGCTCCTTCCCTGTGCGTTCAGTCCACCCCCAGTCTCCTTCCAAAGCCAACCAAGAGTCGCCAAGCCCCATTCAAATCAATCCTTTTATTGACTGTTTTTATACACAGGGGGTTAGAAAAGGGCGAGGGCTCCCGAAGGGGGGGGTGCTGAGCCCTCCCCCCCATTCCCCCCCCCCACATTTGTGCTGCGTTTCATGTACAGGGCTGATTTGTCCCAAACCCTGAACCCCACCGCCACCCTCCACCCCATCCCAGACGCTTTCCTTTAAAGAATGAAAAAAGACGGGGCCTGTGGCCCTTCCCCCGCCCCCCACTACACGGCCACACCTACACGACACAGACATTTCTCCTAGGGAACTCGCCCGTCTACGACTACACGTTCCGCCACTATTCCCACTGCAGGGTGTTCCGGGGAGATGAGCCCAGCCCCCCACCCGCCACGGGCGTTTTCTCCACCCGGACCCACCCGCGGGCTTTGTGCGAACCACAGATCTCGGTCGGCTTCCCCACCCCCATCACCCCCCCCACCCGGGGGCCCCACAGTAGCCGAAGCCGAGCTGTCGAGGGCGCGGCACCCACCCACAGAAATGCGAAAACCCCCCACCCCCACCCCGCGCCTGAGCGCGCTCCCGGCAGATCCCAGGCCTGCGGGTCCGTTGTAAGAGAAGAGGCGGGGAGCACGGGAGGCGGACGCCCCCTCCCCGGGTCCCCACCCCCAGCCTGGGGAGTGTTAGCACCAGACCCAGGGTGTCGCTGTCTTTGGAAACAACGAAAATAGAAAAACCAGAGCGCGCAACGGAGAAGCGCCCCGGGCGGGCACTCGCTGTGCTCCAGCGGGTCAGCACGGAGAGGGGTGGGGCGGGGGCACAGGGTTCGACTTAGGAGGGGGCTTTGACACAAACATCGAGGGAGCTGCCAGAGGATCCCCAATCCGGGGCGTGCAGAAAAGGGCAGAGGGAGAGTCCAGAGGGTGGGGGGCTGCGCAGTAACGGCTCCTCAAGGGACATCTGAGAGGGGGCCAAGCCACAGAGATGCCCTCAGATGCTTCTAACCTCGTCTCTCGTTTCCTCTGGCTCGGGGGTCCACGGTGGGGCAGGCCGCATTTTGCAAAGAACAGTCACGGGGTGGGGGCAGGGGCTCGTTCCACAGTCACTGGGTGGTGAGGAGGGGGGCGATGGTGGGAACTGTGCCTGGCCTTGCTGCGGAACTCCACCCGCAAGGACAATGGGGGGTGTGTGGGGAGGACAATTCCCACTAGAAGCCCCCAGTAGTCCAAGTGGGGTGGGTGGGGCGAAGTACGAGTGAAGGTGGGGGTGGGAAGGGCATAAATCCGGCCAGCCTGCGGCTTCTGCCCCCGGTGAGGCGCTTCAGCCCGCGGTCTGCCGGTAGTTGCCGTTGATCTCTGGGGCGATGTTGACCGCCTCGGCCCCCAGGGGCAGCCGGTCACTGTACTCGGAGCCCGCCTCGAACTCCTCCGGGTTGGCCTTGGACTGGCACTCGGCCAGCGAGCAGGCGGCCAGGCTCTCCTCCCGCGGCAGGTGGCCGCCCGCGTCCCCGGGCTCCGCGTCTTCGTCCAGACCCTCCCCGGGGGCCTCCTCCTCGGGCTCCTCGGCGCCCGCCTCGCCGTTGTCGCCGTCGCCGGCCGGGTAGCTCTTCTCCGACTCCAGGTAGGAGGCCCGCGGGTCGAAGTCGGCGGCGATGCGCTTCTGCATGGGGTCGGGGGCCTGCGGCCGCAGGATGAGGCGGTAGGGCTTGCCCGGGTGTTTGGCTAGCAGGTGGCAGCACGCGGCGCCCAGCAGGGGCACGGTGGCCAGCACCAGCAGGAACACGCTCACCGCCACGATGACCAGCAGCGAGGGCAGCTCCTTCTTGGTGGCGAACACCACCTGCACGTGGCAGGCCTCGCCGGCCAGCGCCAGGCACACCGAGTAGTTGGTGCCCGGACGCAGGCCCCGGAACCAATACGCGTTGACGCCCTCCTCCACCCGCGACCACTGCACGGCCGCGCCGCCGCCCGCCGGGCACAGGTAGAGCAGGCGCAGGGGTCGCCGTCCAGGTCGCCCAGCTGCCCCCACCGCCGCAGCGCCCGAGCCCCAGCGAGACGCCAGCGGCGTCAGCTGCACCCGCGCCTCGCGCTCCGCCACGTCCAGGGCGATGACGCCCAGCTCGAAGACGTGCGGCTTGAGCTCCGCGCTCTGGTTGAATGCGTGATTGGACACGTACCGCGAGGGGTCCCCGCGGCCACAGCGCTGCTCCTCCATCGGGTCGGCAGAGACCTGGTCGTCCTCTGCCACTGCCTCCTCTTCCCCCTCGCCCGCCTCGTCCTCCAGCCCCGTCCCAGTATCCCCGAGGATGCTGACCCGGGCCAAGCCCTGACCTTTGATTTTGCCCTCGGGTTTGGAGGGTAAGACGCTGTTGCCTTGGCCTTTGGCTGCAGACTTGCGCTCAGAGGTAGGCGTCTGACCACCGAGGCCTCCCCCTGCACCAGGGGCGTGCTTGGGGGGCCCGGCCGCAGCAACCGTCACCCGAACCGCCGTGGAGTTGGAGCCCAGCTCATTGCGCGCACGGCACGTGTAGACACCCGCCTCCTTGGTACTCAGGACAGGCACCAGCAAGGAGCCGTTTGTGAGAGCCTGGAAGCGCGGGGTGGCTGGGGGCGCGGGCCAAGCGGGTGCTGGCGCCGGGGTTGGGGTCTGGGTCTGCGTGGGTCCGTCGCCGTCCACTTCTCCCTCTGCGTCCTCTGCCGCGTCTCCTCCATCCTCTCCGCCCTGGAACGGCGGCTCTAAGACCACCGTGCCGCCGGGGATCTGCAGTTCCCACTGCAGGCGTGGCGCGGGGTGTCCTTCGGCCACGCAGTGTAGCATGAACGCCAGGCCAGCACGCAGGGGAGTGCCGGGAGTCTCCAGCGGCGGCTCGGCACTTAGCCGCACGCTGGGCGGCACGCACGACAGGGCGGGTAGGCGGTGCACCGGTACCCCCTGCAGCGCGGGAGGCGAGGCGCACGCGATGGAGTCGGGCTCGGGTAAGGAGACCCGGGTGCTCGCGGCCCAGGCCTGCAGCCACAGGAGACTGCAGCCGCAGTGGAAGGGGTTGTGATAGAGCTGCAGGTGCGAGAGCGCGCTAAGCGCGTCGAAGGTGCCCGGCGCCAGGGTGCGCAGGCGGTTGTTGTTGATGCGCAGAGAGCGCAGGTCCGGCAGGGAGACGAGGGCGTCCCGGGGCAGCGAGCCTAAGTGGTTGTGGTTCATTTTGAGCAGCTGCAGAGCGCTCAGGTTCCGCAGGTCGCCCCACGGGAAGCTGGAGATGAGGTTGTGGCTCAGATCCAGGTTCTTGAGCTGGCTGAGCACGGCCAGCGCGCCCGGCTCGACGGTGCGCACCTCATTGTGCGCCAGCCACAGCGACGTGACTTGCGTGACGTCGGCGAAGGCCCCGCGCCGGAGCACGGCGATCTTGTTGGCCGACAGACTAAGCGTGGTCACGTTGGCGGGCAGTCCTTCGGGCACCTCACGCAGCTCCTTGTAGGCGCAGTCGGCAAACTGGTGAGCGTACTTGTCCACGCAGGCGCACGGCTCCGGGCACGCTCGGGCCACGCCTAAGAGCGCCCAGGCCCACAACGCGGCCCACAAGGGCACCATCTCGGAACCTACAGAAGAAAGGAAGGGGTGGGAGGAGGGTGGAGAAGCTGACTCCTCACCCCCCATCCATGCTCCCTCTGGGACAGGCTAGGGCGACCTTCAGCTCCGCACAGGGGCCTTTCGTTAGCGGGATTTAATAAATACACGACCCCCCTACACACACAGTCCCCCTTCGTCTGGGGCCCTTGAATTGTTCGCTAGCCCCCCAGGACTCACTCCTTTCCCTCCTTCTAGCCTCCCATCTTGGCTCTGGCCTGTGCATAGGCCTGGTCACTGACTGGTCTGCCCTGGGTTCTAAGCCGACCCCTGCCTCCGCTTCCAAGCCTTCATTGATCCCATGAAGAGCCACACTGAAATTGTTGGTTCGCAATTGGTGGTGCTGCCGCTAACTCTTTGTCCCATGCAGGGCGCTGCCACCTGCGCCCACATGGGCGCACCACAACACAAGGGGGCTGGGGCTCTGCCGTCCAACCACCCACTTCCGTAGGGCTTTGGAGTTCCACAGCACACGAAAGCACACGGGCACCCAGACATCAGACACAGAAGCCCTGGGAGACCTCATTGTTCTCCGGGCTGGGCTCCTGCATTTGTATAGCCATTTCCACCACGCAAAGCACCTTCCTGTTCTTTGTGAGAGCTGACAGACACAAGGTCACAAATCCTCACGCTATAACGGACCCACCCACAGGAGGGGCTAGGTGCACGAAGTCCTCTCGTCTGGCTGTGTGAACCTGCGGGATGGGATCCCGAAAACCAGGCTCACAGCCTCTCTCTGGCTCTTGCACAGCCTTTTTTTTTTTTTTTTCTCAAGCTGCCTGCCTGGGCTGTGGCTCCCTCCAGGGAATAACGGGGAGGGTGATCCTTCTGCCTCCTCCCCCAAATAGGGTCCCACAGAGTCCAACCAACTTCCTAGGGTGGAGACGGGTCCCTACCCAACAGGTTATGGGGGTGGCTATTAGGTAAACAAGGAGAAGTCTCAATAATTTGACCCTCTTCCCGCCACCCCCCCCCATCATGCCCGAACGCCCCATCGTCTCTCCCCAACAACACACAAAAACGTTTTACCCCCAAGACACAAATGCATTGGTACAGATACCAGCTCCCACCTCGGGCGCCCAGAGGGTTCAGCAGAGCCCCTCCCACACGCGCTCTCTGGAAATGCGGGTCCCCCACTCCGCCTGTCTCGGGCGGCGCTCGCCCAGACGGCGCCGCGGAGGAGCAGGGCACCCTAGGCGGAACCAACTCTAGCCCAGGTCTCAGGGCACTGTCCCGACTTACGCTGCTCGCAGCCTCCCGGCGCGCAGTCCCGGCTCTGACGCCTCTTCTCCAGACTTGGGGTCGCGGGGCAGGACGAGAAGCCCCGATCACTTTCCACATCTGTTGCTGCAGCTGTAGGGAGGACGGTGGGGTGGGGGGCAGCAGAGAAAGGGAAGTTGGGGACCTCCCCTGACCCTGAGGTCCGACTCCAGGTTCTCCTCTCGGTCTGTTACCCCCCACGTCTCGCTGGCTGCAGACCCAGGAGCGCGCGAGCGCGCGCCCGGGCCCAGCAGGGGCGCGCACGGCCCCTTCCCCCTCCCGAGTCAGCGACATTGGTTAAAGCCACAGAGACTCGCCCGTGGCCCGAACAGCTGGGGCCCAAGGACGCTGCCACGCCACTGCCCTCCTCCACTCCCCCGCCCCTCCCCATTTACACATCTGCTGACACCGCCGCTTGCACATTGTCACCTGCCAACACAATGCCCCCACGTCCAAACACATTCGCACAGACACAGACGGACTCTCACGCCCTCCCGGCACCGGCTCCTCCTCGGCTTAGAAGGACCCCAGCGCGGTAGAAGCCGGGTCTTCTGCCCCCATTACCCGCACCCCCCCCCCAACACACACACACACACACAGTCACGCGCTCACCTTCCGGCGCGGGTCTAGCCAGGGCCCCAGCTTCGCTGCTAATTGGATGCGAGGTGCCTTTCACGCCCTGCAACCTGTGAAATAACCCATCTTTGAGGAATTGGGGGGACGGAACAGAAGGGCACGCGGCGGAAGGGGGGCGTGTCTCTGCGATTAAACTCTCTCGTCTCCCCTCCCCCCCATCCCCAAATGCGGGAGGTGGTGCAGACAGACACACAGAGGGACGAGTAGAGCTTCGCACAGCCTGGCTGGTGCCGGCAGGTCTTTTCCCCTACGTCCCCCCTCCTCACCGCCGCCCCCAGCGGCTTCCTCCTCCCCGAAGCCACGTTCAACACGATGCATAATTGATAGTGTTAGCAGAGCGCCTAGCCCTCCCCGCTTTCCCCCAGCCCACTTAATCTGAGCCTGGTCTCTCCTACCCCCACCCTTCACTCCCATTCCTCCAGTCCTACCCACTGGAAGAACGATGTCCCCTCCTAGACCCCCTGTTTAGCAAGCAATGCCTCTGGGTTTTTATGTGGCTCAACCAGAGGTGGAAGCCACTTCTCTCTTCCCCAAGCTCCGGCTCACAAGTATCCACCTCCGCTTTCAGGGAGCCCGCCTGGACTGGCCCCAGCCATTCCTCTTCGGTTGCGCAGGGCTGGAGGCGGGTGGTCAGGGCCTCTCGATGCACAGGAAGGGATGGTTACAAAACCTCTCCTTTGGACCACCGTAGACTGGGACACAAGGCCCGTGCATCTCTCTGCCTCCTCCTCCTCCTGCTTCTCCTCCTCCTCCTCCCTTGAGAACCTTCACAGCTTCTCAAGCAAACGCACAGCCAACCTCACCCCTACCCCTCAAAGCATCCACACTCCCCGTGTCTCACACCCTCACCCCACTGCCGCCTTGGCAGACTCCAGTATCCATGGTGCGTTGCCCCCTCCCTCCCCATCCCCCCTCACTCCCGACATTTCCCTTCAGCGACGAGGAGGCGGAGGCGCCTGGTTGTCGAGGCGTTTGGCTAAAACCCGGCTCCTACCCCCACTGTACTGCCCACGGCTGCCCTGGAGCCGGGACTCGCAGGCTGGAATTGGGGTAGAAATACCGGCTCACAAGAGCCCTTCTTCCCAGACACCTCACTGGGGGGCAGGGAGCCATGGGTCCCCCAGCCTTCACCAGGAACTTGGGGGTCTCTGGCGGTGGGTCGATGGCGCGGGCTGTGGTCCTCAGCAGCGATCAATCACTGGATTTGAGTGTGGAGCATTTTAATGAGCTGGTGGAGGCCAGGCGGGCCAGGAGCGCCGCTTCTAAAGAGACCACCCGACCCCGGTTTGGAGGCGCCTTTGTAAATTAAATATGAACCGACTGCGCACGCAGACCCGGCGCGCCGCGGGCTCCCTCTTCCACCCCTTCGGTGGCTACCGGGTGCGCAGCGGGCCGCGACCGTCGCGCCGCGCTCAGCCCAGAATTGGGAACTCGGCGCGGCCCGCGGGGGTCGGCTGTCTGCGGCGCGCACGCAATCTGCACAGGCGTCCCGCGGGGAGAGGTGGCTCCGAGGAGCGCAGAGGGTGCGCGCGCGTTGAGCCCACCATGGGGGAACGGGAGAGGGGCGGCGAGTCAGGGTGCGAGTCCCTCAGGCCCGGCAGGGTGGGGGAGTAGAGAGGTGGCCCGCGCGCCCCTCTTTGTCTGCAGAACAGGGGGAGGGAGGCTGTTCTCTGGGCCGGTCCTCCGCGTCCAGGAAATGCTACGGGGGTGGGGGATTGGTTCTGGGGAGCCTTAACCAGAAAAGAGGGATTTGGGGAGGCGGGAGATACGACCTGGAGGACGGCGAGTCGGTCCCTGGGAGCTTCCCAGGCAAGGGGAGGAGCGCGGGGCGGGGAGGCACAGTGCGCTTGGGCCCCCCACACCCAGTTTTCTCCGCTTTTCTGGTTCTCTTTCTGCCTGTGGCGAGAAGGAGGACCAGGAGGAGGACCGGGAGGTGGTTGGGCAGGGACTGCTTAGGAGGATGGGGGTCCAAATGCAAACAGAGATTGGGAGCGTAACGAGAAAGGGCTCCCTCGCTCTCGGGGGCAGCGTTCCTGGCCGCAGGGACCAGCGGCTCCAGTGCGCCAGGAATCTCCGGATCTGAGGACAAGGGGGTGGGGGTGGGGGACCTAAAATCCTCTTTCTAGTTTCCTTGCCGGGGATGCAGGAACCGGGTGAGAATACCAGTGGAGCCCCGACTCAGAGCGGGATGCCCGGCCACTCGGACCCCCGCGGCGCCCGTGCGCTCCCCGCCAACGCTTTTGTTCCCGGACTCCGCCCGGCAGGAAAGACAGCGCTTACCCCCTCCTTGGACCCTGCGCCGTCCGGGACCGCCCCGGCGGACAGCCGCGCCAGTCACCCCGATGGAGTCCGCTAGAGCCCGGGGTGGCAGCCGCGGTTCCGAACGCACCTTGGAGCTCCGCTCAGAGGAGACTGAGCGCTCGCCCGCGCGCAGGAGCCGTTTTGATGTTGATAATGTTAATAACGGCGCAGTTAGGGAAGGGCTGGGGAGCCGCGAGCGGAGAGTCCACCCCCGCCGCCCACGTCTTTGATCGTTAAAGAAACAGGCTCCTCATCAGGTGTGTGGAAGTTGGCGCGGGGAGAGGAGGGATCCAAGGTTCCCGGACGCCGCCCCTTTGGGCATGCACGCGTGGAATCCAGGAGAAGGATTTTGGACCGGGCTGAAGTTCTGGCTCTAAGCAGACCTAGGCGGGGAGACCCCATATACGGGGCAGCTCTTTGCTGAACGACCTCTGACCCAGAAGATGCGGGAGGCGCGCTGGGTTGATACCGGGTGGATCCCGGTGCTCGGCATCCCGGGGATGGGGAGACTCCGGGGCTCGGGCCCGGTTCGTGCGCGCCCCCTGCTGGACACCATCCGTCGGGCGCAGAATCCGGGGCAATGACTGCGGGAGTTCAGGTTCAGCCAGAGACACCTAGACTAGACTTCCAAGCTTTTCTCCCATGTCTATCAAGATCGTGTCCCCTCCTCTGCCCCAAACAGGGCACCGCGTCGGATTCGTAGTCCATTGTGTTTCCAGTGGCCAGAGCAGCCTGGGCACCCCACCCAGCGCGAGCCAGAATTGACAAATGAGGGTTTTTTCTTTTTTTGGGGGGGGGGGGAGGGGCACACCCTACCGCGCTCAGGGCTTTTTTCCTGGTTCTGTGCTCAGCGATCACTCCTGGCGGGATCAAGGGCATCATGTGGGATGCCGGGGATCCAACCTGAGTCTTTCTCGTACATAGCAAATACTCTACCTGCTATACTGTCACTCTGTCCCTGGGATTAATACTATCTTGTCCACCTTCCCTCCCTCTACATCTTGCAATCGCTACCCTGTGTAGTTACCCACAGCAGCCAGTGCGAGTCTATGAAATGTTTGAGATTTGAAATATACATATCTTTATATATATATATATATATATTATGCCAAAGAGGGGGAAAGAAAAACATGTAAGGTTGGAAGTAATAGGTGTTGAATCTAATGTTTACACATAACACTGTGCAAATGATCCTGCTGTGGTTGTACATGTCCTTGCATTTGGCTTGGCATTCCAGTGATTAATGGGCAAGCCAGAATGGAATAGGTCCTCAGATATCCCGAGTAAACATAGCAGCTTCCCCAGGAGCCCTCTCTGCTACTGCACCGAACCAGCCACTATTATTCTTTTGTTGTTGTTGTTGTTGTTTGTTTTGGGGTCACACTCAACAATGCTTAGGGTTTATTCCTGGCTCTGCACACAGGATTATTCCTGGCAGCACTCCAGAGACCACATGGTGTGCTGGGGATTGAACCTGGGTTGGCCACATGCAAGTACAAATGCCCTAACCACTGTACTATGGCCCAGGCCCCCCACTTTTTTTTATAGATTTGATATATATTTATTTAATTTTTAAAAAATTTTTATCAGTGAAACACCATGAGGTACAGTTGTAGACTTACAAATTTTTGTGCTTGGGTTTCAATTATACAATGACCAAGTACCCATCCCTCCACCAGAGCCCAGTTTCCACCACCACAGATCCCAGTATCCCTCCTCCTCCCCATCTCCCCTGTCCCACCCTGCCTCTGTGGCAGGGCACTCCCTTTTGTTCTCTCTCTCCTTTTGGGTGCTGTGGTTTGCAAAAGAGGCATCAAGTGGCAATCCTCTTCGGTCTATAGTCTGCTTTCAGCATGCTTCTCCCATCCTGGGAGGATCCTCCCAAAACCCTTTGTTTGGTGCTCCCTTCTCTATCTGAGCTGCCTTTTCCCCTAGCATGTGTTGCTGGCCTCCAAGCCATGGAGTAAACCTCTTGGTACTTATCTCGGCTAATCTTGGGTATTAGTCTCCTATTTTGTTACTTTATGTTCCCCAGATGAATGCAATCTTTCTATGTCTGTCCCTCTCTTTCTGACTCATTTCACTTAGTATGATACTCTCCATGTAGTACCATTTGTATGTAAATTTCATGACTTCATCTTTTCTCACTGCTGCATAGTACTCCATTGTGTACATGTACCAAAGTTTCTTTAGCCAGTCATCTGTTCTTGGGCACGCAGATTTTTTCCAGATTCTGGCTATTGTAAAGAGTGCTGCAATGAACAAACAAGTGCAGATGTCACTTCGACTATACTTTTTTGCCTCTCTGGGATATATTCCCAGGAGTGGTATTGCTGGGTCAAGTGGGAGCTCAATTTCTAATATTTTGAGAATCGTCCATACTGTTTGCCAGAAGAGCTGAACCAGTCAGCATTCCCACCAGCAGCGAAGGAGGGTCCCTTTCTCGCCACATCCGTGCCAGCACCGGTTGCTTTTGTTCTTTTGGATGTGAAGCCCCCCCATATATGACCCCTTCCAGTATCTTCAGCTTTTATGACCCCTTCCTCATCCACACCCCATACATTCACTCAGTATTTCTATCATCCCAGC